TCTTGTCTCGTGTTTGAATTTGTGATTTTGCATTCCCTTTGTAGTTCATGGTTTTAATTTAAGTTGCCTCAAGTTTCAGTTTTTTTACTCTTATATATGGTGCAATGTCCCCTGTTTGTTTCTACATTTTGCTTAAGACAATGCTGTGGTTTGAATCTGATATAAGTATTAATAGCCATTCAGTTAAAAAGTTTATATGCTTCTCGATATTGTTTATCGAATAAATAAGTAGCTAGTTACACAAACCACAAAGATACTTCAGGAAATTATAACTTACACGAACCCAAATATATCAATTTTATATGAGGTTGTTACCCACATGGTAAGAACTTCGATTATTATAAGTCTCACAGAACACAAATTCTTGTGTGACAAGTCTTTTTAACAGTAAAGCGGGTGAACTCGTCATAGTTAGACTTTAAAATGGCAAAGTGATGTAAGACATATTGACACTCTTTTCCCAGTTATTACACAAGTAATCACTCAAAAATTGCGAAGATCAATTTACACAATATAATTTATTTACAAGTCTATATATTATATATATATGTATCAAAGGCTATTTATATATATGTATATATGTATTCAAACCAGTTATAGTAATCCAAGACACGTAGACGTCTACACGCACTCCTAGTGAGGTCGAATTCTACAAACTCTCGTGTTCTCGTGCCTTATGCGCCGAGCAGCTTCTTGAATCCGACGATCGTGCTCTTTCAGCACCTGTTCTATGTTGTTTGAGGTAGCAATTAAAGGACCCGAAAATTGGCTCGACCTCTCCTTAGAGACAAAAAAGAGGGAAAAAAGTGGGTTTAAGAATTACAAATCATCTAAAACATGAAAAGATTCAGAAAATGAGCATTTTCTTTAAAATGAAAAAAAATAGCAACTTTAATGAAAAAAAAAAATGGTTGGTTATATATGTCAATTGTCTTCTTTCCACAAAACTGGTTACTTTTCATTTTTCATCCACAAATGGCCAAAAAAGTGAGATACCAAAATCTCATATCACTTAAAACTCACCATGCCAGGTTCTTGTTGTTTTCCCGTTTTCTCCACATTTTGAGAGCCACAGAACAATTGCTTACTCATCATGGGATCCTCAAACGACTCTGAAAGCCTGGCCGCTTGATTCGTGGGCCCCACACATGACGATGCTATTTTCCCCCGCGACTCCACGGATGAGAAAGCCCTACTTTGTAGTTTGTTTAAAGCTTCGTCTTTTTTAAGGTTCACCACATTTTCGTGCCTCCTCTGAAATACGAGTTTAAAATAATCAGATTTAGCTTATTAGGTGGAATTAGAGCTTTCTTTCTTTTCTATTTTTTTCCCTTTATTTTCTTTTTGCTTTTCATATAGGAAGTGTCTCTATATCGGAAGTCCAACCAATTCTTAGTGTATATACCTGCATCGACCTTGCCAAGTCAGCATTAGCTTCAGCACTTCGAGATTCTTTTGGTTTTTTAGAATCATAATCGCACTTGTGCCCCTTAACTCCAACAGCTCCTTTCCTGTAAAAATTTTGTTCGACTGCTAGGCTGGTAACAAATTCTTGAAAAAATCCTTAACGTAATTGCTTTACACTCCATGTATACAAACGGCCTTTAACCATCAATTCAAGCCTCAACGAATCAGAAAAGTTATTATACAAAGGAAGTTACTATGACAATTCACCTTCGTGCTTCCTCTTCTCGCAGTTTTGCGTCGATCTCTTTGCTTGGAGGATATTTTGGCAAATTTGACGGGTCACAAGCAAACGGTTCTGTCTTGAAGAACTTTAAGAAAGAAAAGACTCAGTAACAAATACTCTGCCCATACCAAAATCAAGTGAAGCTCTTTCATTCTATAAATTTTAAATTATCAGACAACTGCAGCATGGAGTTTACAGTATATTTAAAAAATCAGGAGAAAGATATTCATAAAAATTGTTCAGTTGCATTTGTCGTCCATTATCACACACACATACAGATGGGGAGAGAATAGAATACCTCACTCTGAAGGGCAAAAGATGCTGTTCCCCGTCTGGAAGGGTCAATAGAGAGTAAGGTCTCCATAAGCCTCATGGCATTTTCCGGAAAATCCTTAAATATCTCAGCAATCTGCCGTTTATATGGCTGAATGGGCTTGAACACCGGAGAATGAGGTAATTTTGACGTTCTCCAATAATCTTCGGATGGTGAGCCGCACAATTTAAATATTTTATGCAACTGCTCAACCTTCAATGGTACAAAATATATTTTATTCAAACATTTCATAAAGAAATTGCATGATTTAAGAAATAGATTATAATAGTTTACTACCTCAGTTCTTCCAGGCATGATGGGCTTTCCAGCATATAATTCTCCGAGTATACAGCCAGTGCTCCACAAATCAACAGCAACACCATACTGCGTCGAACCAAGTAAAAGTTCAGGCGGCCGATACCACAAAGTCACAACACGGCTAGTTAACGGAACTTTCTGGTTATTATTATCGAAATAACTCGCTAAACCAAAATCCGCAATCTTTAAAACTCCATGATTGTTGATTAAGAGGTTTGAGCCCTTAATATCTCGATGCAGGATGCCATTACTATGGCAATGATCGAGCCCACTTAGCAGCTGCTGCATATAGCACTTGAGCTAAAAATGTAGAAAAAAAAAAACATTAGGCAATAAAATTGTGAAAAAAAAAAATTGCAAAGGCCGAGTAAAAACCCACCTGTGGTTCGGTGAACTTGACGCCTGGAAGTGAGGCAAGTCCAGTCAGATCATGTTCCATATACTCGAACACAAGATATAGACTACAAGATGTTGTTGACGTGACTAAGCCTTCTAGTTTAATGACATTTGGGTGATCGAGCCTTCGCAAAATAAGAATTTCCCTCGCCATGAACTTGACACTTTCTGCGTCCATATTATCAAAACGTACTTTTTTCAGGGCAACGACTTTGTTGTGCAAAAGATCACGACCCTTGTACACGCTACTGTAAGTTCCTTGGCCAATCTGCAACAATGAAATGCTATCACACAAGAACCGAAAACCAATCGTATTAGGATACTGCATAGACAATGAAAAGCTACATAAAACGCCAGAGGCGCCATGTCAAAAAAATAATAATAATAATAATAGTTTAAAATTAAATAGCTTAAACCAAAAAAAGGACACAAAACATGGTTCCCACAAGCCTGTTCCGCTCATAATTTCTCTCTCCAATTTATAAAACATTCTGTAAGAGCCCCTGCACAACCTTTAGCCTCATGAAAATATCGAAGAAAGAAATAATGAGAACGAACCAAAAAGAAAACTAGAAACAAATATTGCAAAAGTAGTCACTGTGAAATAGATGGTAAACAGTTGTTCCAATTATAAGCCCCAATTGAAAGGAAATCAAAATGTAACCAGGAGTAGTGTTGTTGTTTGTTCTCAGCTCGGCAAAAATATAAACTTTCCTCGCTCAGAGATCACGCATTAAAAGACAAAGTGGTTAAGCTTCACGACAAATGCAATTAACGTATAGAGACAATACGCGTCAAAAAACGTGTGGAAAATGTAAAATCTAAGCTCACTTACGAAATGAAAACTGGTTTATACACATATAATATGTCCAGTTAATGATATAGTTATTCAGGCAAAAAATTCAGATAACCTTCTTTCTTGTTGATAATGTTTATTCTCAGAAACTAAACTTATACTCAAGCAGATCAGAGCATGTTAACATATAAAAAGTCATTAACAACATCAAATCCTCGTGATTTTACTTTGATCATGGCACCCACAAACTAACTCACAAAATTTCCACAATGAATTTGACCAGAAAAGTACCTTATCGAGCTTCTCAAAAGTCTCCGCTTTGCGCGGGACCCACCCTTTGATAGCTTCCCCTGCCACCGCAACCAGCCAAGAAGGCCACCCGGCAGCAACCTGTTCCCCTTCCACGGCTTTCGGAAGGTTCCTCATGCTCGGGAAATTGCTGACGTCATCGAAATCTTTCTCTGGTTTATTGCTGCAAAAATCGTCCCTCACCCTTCTAGACACATTACTTCTCCTATCAATCGACCCGATTTTGATATCCCCATGATTCTCCAGCTTCACCTTAGCTGAAAAGCTCTCATTCCTATTCCGGGAATGATTCTCCAGCTTCACCTTAGCTGAAAAGCTCTCATTCCTATTCCGGGAAAGAGCTCGGGCCTCGAGCAATTCGGATGTTTTTCGATTTAATTCTCTCTGTTTTGGGCTGCCATCATCCGCTGATGAGGACTTCCAGCATACACAACCCATGATTTTTCCCAATCAAAACCCACCAACTAATGGGCACAAAGAAAAAGCTATAAGCCCTCCTTTACAATTTCAGAAGACCATTCCCACACTGAAAACCCCTCAATTCTTACAAACCCGTCATGATAAAAAAAATCAACAAAACAGTTCAATACACCAGAAATGAAAAAACGAATAATGAAAACCCTTTATTAGCAAAGAATTCTACACAACTGGAAACACGAAGAGCTTCACGAATTCGACGTTCCAAGGTCAAAACAATAAAAGTAAAGTACCCAAATTTCTTACCCGCGTTAAAAATCGAAACTTTTCACCAAAACTCACTACCCAACACGAAAAAGGGTACAAAAAGAAAAGGGTTGATTGACTACACTACCGCACTTGAGATAATTCTTAGAAGCAAGAAAGGCTTAGTCTTGATGAACAATTTCAACACGCTTGTACATATTATCATGCTGGTAAAATTTGATATTCTTGCGTACATGCATCTGCGTGTGTTCTGAGGATGTGCAGAAAAGGATATAGAACGATGGCCACAACCAAAAGACGGCAAAAGTTTTTTACTTTCTCTCGCTACAACTCAAATTAGCAGTTCCAGAACTTCCATGGCAGTGAGTGACTCTCTGTACGCCTCTTCAAAATAAGTCGTTTTTTGGTGATGGGTTAGGTTGGAATACAGTTCTGTTTTGTTTTGTACCCTTAATTGTTAATTATTTCTCTTTAATACTATTTCCTTATCCTTGCATATGTTTAGGTGGGGTGGGGGACATAATTTTATTCATGAATGTTTTGTATGAGAATTGAGCTAATCTATGGATATGATAGATTAGTTAATAATATATGTGAAAACCGTTATTCACCAAGATGACATTTGGTAACTCTCAATTTATAATTATTGAAAGATATATGTGAAAACCGTTATTTCAATAAACACGATTAATAAATTTCATGTGTACGAAAAAATTAAGTTAATAATATCACCACATATATTTATGTATGTATATCAAATATTAGGTGGAGCTCGTGGATAGCTTCTTTATGGAGTCACTCATAACTTGACGAGTTGACACGTACGTAAAGTGTATTTTATGGAGTCATTCATAACTTTACTCACACATATTCAAATTATATTTGTTGTAGGACACATGTCAATACACCATTTATATAATGGCTTAAGAGCAAAAATTGTACCATATGATATAAAAAATATTATTATAAACAATTAAAATTCATTATATACCAATTTGTATGGTTCTCACATTATAAGTTTTTATAATTATATATTATCTCTTATATATAATTCTCGAAAGTTTAAATTTAATAAATGACATGCCGATACTGGTAAGGATTCATTCATGTTTCGTAATTAGGTTCGGATAAACACGGTTAAGAAATTAAAGGAAAAAAGAAAAAAGGAAAAGATTGAAATTAATTCCATTTTAGTCTATGAGAATCCTTTGGAAGTAAGAATATTTCATTATTTTTCTGCAGTACATATTTGACACTTCGAAAGATTATTTTGTCGTCATTTTAAAACTTCCACCCAAGTGACTACAGGAACTCTACCCTACCCCCTATCATAAATAGATGAATGAAATAATAATAATGATGATAATTGATGTTGTTTGTTGAACATTTTGAGATCAAATCACACGTTTTAGGCGAACTAGAGGTTAACGTCTTATTTAATTATTTTGTAAGTAGCAATTTAAAATAGCTTTTCGAATTCGAAATAGCAAATTTTGATTATGCTCAATACATGATACTTTTAAAATAGAAGATTGTAAAATTAATAGTTTTTACATATCCAACAATCAATTACTTATGAAACACTTTGCATAATTAACCGATCCAATCAACTAGTTAAAGTTATTAATTTGATCCGTTATATCCACTAAGTGTCAAACACATCAAGTAATAATAATAATAATAATAATAATAATAATAATAATAATAATAATAATAATAATAATAATAATAATATCAAAAGGCAATAATAAAGTAATAATTTTAACAGTATCGAATTAAAATGGAATATGCTATTTTTTTAATCAGAATTGTCAAAGATCATGACAAAAAATTTCAAGGGTGTGGGGCTGAGTGGATAGTTGAATGATATAATTTTCCAAGTAGTAATGAGCTAATTTCTGACTTTTTTAGGTTTGTAGATGAAGATGGAGTTAATTATTCATTGCTGGCTGACATGTGCACTGTATGATTATATAACACAACACCACATTGCTAAAAGAAAATACCACCTTCTTAATAACCCTACATAAGTAATAAGTTGGGTATTTTTAAACTTTTTATTATTATTATTATTAAAAGGTAAGAATCACGTAAAAAATGAAAAAATCGTACGTCAGCTCTACTAAAACTACCAAGATAGTAAAATTATTTATTCTAGAGAAAATTTCAGTAGTACCAAGTATATGGGGAATGTATGTAATAGTTATTTTTTTTTTCTTTCTAAATATATATAAAGGTGATTTTTGCTTGATACTAACTATTAATTAACAATTGACTATCCTAATTTATAAAAAAAATAAACGCAAATAAGAGGTTATCAAACTACACAACTATTTATATCATCATCATAACAACATTTAATAACATTTTATTCTTAATTTTTTTGAAGTATCTTTATTTCAATATCCTCTCCGGAATTAAATAAATAAATCAAATGAAAAGTTCTAATTTTTTAATATTTTATTTTTTATGTTCTGCCTGGAATTAAAAAATAAATAAATCAATTATAAATTTCAACAATAATTGCCGTACCAATGGGACTAATTTCATTCGTCACCAAAAGTTCTGGGAAAGTACACCCGGCAAACCGCAAGAATCTTCGTGCACGTCACGAATTAATTTAAGGGTAATGCTATAAGTACATAATAGTGTACATAAAAGTGTACATAACACTCATATTAAGTGGATTCTATTAAAAATAAAAAATCAAATGGACTCACTCCATGTGAGTATTCTATGTACATTTATTATGTACATGTAGCATTTTTCTTAATTTGATTGAGAACTTGTGTGTTTGGGTGCATCGGATATAATAAAATTGTTTGGATAAAAAAGAAATTGCAAGATTGGAATATCGTTTTAATGTAATATTGATCGAACGGGGGCATAGGAAAAAAAAAAGTTAATTGAACCATGTAATATTGATCGAACAGGGGCATAGGAAAAAAAAAAGTTTCATATGAAGCTAAACATGTAGCTGTTATTCGAATTGAGTTGTCTAATAATATAGTTTTACAGAAATTCTATTTGTAAAAGTTCGATCTCCATTCTCTTATATATTTAAACAATCTAAACTTAAACATTTAATTGAGCTTGTTTATCGAACAAATCGAGTCGAATTAATATTGATAAATATTTGTTTTTGTTATAAAAAGGTAAATATATGTTATTTATATATGTAATATGAATGTCAAATCAAAACTCACTAAAATTTGATAATAAATACAAAATTTATTAAATATTAAAATATAATTATAATTTAGGTTAATTATATATTTTTTTTAATTTTAAAAGTTGTCACGATCATTGATAAAAGTCCAAATCTATATCGATTAGTATAAAACATATAAGGTGAAATATGAAATTATGAAACACCATAAATCGACAAATAAAATTACGGTGCACTAAAAATTGAAACATAGGTTTGAGAATGAAACCAATACAGGTTACATAATTATTCTGAGCTATTTTTTAAATTTAACATTTTATTATGAAAAAGGTATGCTGGACTGAGGTCTGAAGAAAAATAATAGTTCTACCAAAAAGTTGAAAATCCCTTCTCATTTTTATTTTATTTTTTGGTTTTTTCTTTAATAACAATTGAAAAGGGCATCCTCTGCATGATGTTGAAATAAAAAATAATAATAATAATTAAAAAAAATCAAATGATACAAGTGGAGACGACCAGTGCTAAGTTGACTTATTTGATAAAAATGTCAAAGTGATCAGTTTCATTGAATTGGTCTATCTGGAGTGTTCATATAAATTTATTTATAGCACATTATAGCACTAGTGCCGTCAAAATATAAATAAGATAAAAAGCTCATGTTTTTTTTTTTAACGAAACGATAGATGGATTAGAACTTAAAATGAATGTACAAGGTTCGAAGGCATACTAGCCCAAATGCAGCAAACTCCTACACAGAAGGATCACCAAAGGTGTCCTAGAAACCTAACACAAATCATCTATCGGGTAACAGAGACAAAGCTACAGCAACTACCCAACACCACAGTTTCAATTCCAACCTTCTAAGTGCAGTAACCGGACAGATTACAAAAATATCAAACATAAAACAAAGGAGCGTCTAAAATTTAAAAAGCAACCACTGAACACTAAAGGAACTTAGTTGTTCTTCAATTTTAGTTTGATCCTTTGCCTGAATATTCCAGCCAGCCATTCAAAGCGTATTGCACCACTGCCTTTGCCGGTCTATTGACCTTCTCAAAAACACATTTGGTTACGAGCTTTCCAAATTTCCCATAACAGATACGAGGTAAGTTGGAGTCTGTCATCAGTTGAAGGGCTTTTCTTCATTAAGCACAATGAGTTCCACCAACCTTTGAAATCGATAGTCTCCTGGAGTATGCCATCCCAAGTAACTGGTGACTTCTCCCAAATCCTCTGAGCTTTGATGCATTGGAAAAAGAGATGCTCTATTGTTTCAGGCCCTTCCCCACAAGCTTTGCAAATCACATCCATTTGTATCCCCTTTTTACTCAAATTATAATTAACTGGCAGTATGTTGGAGTAGCATTTCCATAAAAAGTGTTTCACCTTCTCTTGGATTTGCAGTGACCAGCTCTTCTTTCTGACCCTTCGACCCACTTTCTGCTCCAAACTACACTCTGCCTTATCCATTTGGCGCCATTTCTCCCACACCAGTCTGTTGTAAGTTGAGGCCACAGTAAAATCCCCTTTAGCATTCCAGTCCCATAATACTCTATCTTTCTCTTCAGGCTTCAGAGGTTGAATAGACTTGATTGCTTTCACTTCCTGGTCAGTGAAAATTTCTTTCAATAGATCAACATTCTAATGCCTTCCTGTACTATCCATCAGATCCTTCACCAAATTCAAGTCTCTGTTCACTGGCTTAGGAGTGTTGGTTTGAAATTTCTGAAACTTGGAATCCATGGTTGATCCCAAATTTTAATAGATCTGCCATCTTTGACATCAAACCTTATCCCTCTGTTCAGAATCTCCTTAGCCTCCATCCAACTATTCCAAAGCCATGATCCAATTTTTGATTTTTGTGCTTCCAAAACTGATGTCTTAGGGAAGTACTTAGCTTTCAAAATTCTGCTGACAAGCAGATTTGGCTTAGTGAATATCCTCCAAACCTGTTTAGTAATCAATGCCTGGTTCAGTAAGTTGATATCTTTAAAATTCAACCCTCCCAGCTCCTTTGGTACAGTTATCCACTTCCAAGCTTTCCAGAACACACCTTTCTTGTTTGGGTCAGAGGATTTCCACCAGAAGGATGCAAAAACCTGTGCCAAATGCTTGCAAATGGTTTTAGGCAAGACAAAGCATGACATAACATAAATTGGTAAGGCACCCAAAACTGCTTTAAGAAGCACTTCTTTCCCTGCTTGTGAAAGAAAGCAGTTTTTCCAGCTTTTGATTTTTTTTTTTTACATTATCAGTAACAAAAGAGAAGGTATCAATTTTAGAAGTGCCAATACCCAGAGGAAGTCCTAAATATCTGGAAGAGTTATGATGAGCAATCCCTAACAATTACTGATGTCATTCTTCTCATTCGGAGTTGCATTCCTACTGAAGAAAATGGAGGATTTGGCTAGGTTAACTGTTTGGCCAGAAAAGGTTATGAACTTCTTCAATAAATCAAGTAAGGTCTTAGCATGAGAAGTGTCAGCTTTACAAAACACAATGGTATCATCCGCAAAAAATAAGTGGGAGAATGCAGGGCCATATTTGGAAATTTTTAGCCCACAAAACAGACCAAGAGAAGAAAGCTTTTTTAGATGTCTAGAAAGAATTTCAGAGACTAGAATAAAGATATAAGGGGACAAGGGGTCCCCTTGTCTAATACCACGAGAGGGTGTCAAATAGCCACAGACTTCACCATTTAGATTAAAGGAGAAAGAAGCAGAAGTGATACAAGCCATTATCCATTTGACAAAGGTTGGGTGAAATCCAAACTTGAGTAAAATAAGCTTAATACAGTCCCATTCTAGCCTATCAAAGGCTTTTGACATATCTAATTTGACTGCCATATAAGCTTTTTTCCCACTCCTATGTCTGTTCAGAAAATGAATAGCCTCAGAAGCAATAATAACATTATCTAAGATTTGTCTATCAGAAACAAATGCAGCTTGGTTCTCACTGATACAAAGAGGCAGACAAATTTTCAGTCTCTTAGCTAAAATTTTGGATATGACTTTGTAAGCAATAAAAAGCTCATGTTAGGAGGCAAAATGTGGTAGAAAATACCAACCAACTGTAAATTACGAGTTAGGCTAATTATTAGACAGATCGACTCGTCATATTATTAAAATAAAAATGTGTATTTATACTATTAAATATCGAATTTCTTTTTATGTTATTTCTTAATATATATACTTTCTAATAAAAAATACATGTTAAAAGGGTATGTCAATTTAACAATTAGACCGACCTAAAAAAAATTACGAGTTTGATTGTCACATGACTTGTCAAAAATAATATATTTATTTTCAAATGAAATATATATAATGGTTAATACATCAAAAACCCCCCATTGTATTCCACCCTATAGTGTCTCGAATCAACAATTATTTTTCTGTTTTCGAATTACAATGCTAATTTATTTCTTCTTCTTCTTTATTTTTTTTTTTGTCAAAATCTTGATCTTTTATTTAATTTATTTAGTACTAATTGCTTTTAATTGATAAAGTG